CCCCTCCCCCTCCCCCTCCCCCTCCTGCCCCCCCCGCTCCCCCACCCCCACCCCCACCCCCACCCCCCCCGGCCCCCGGTGAGACCCCTGCGGCGTTGCCGTCTTCCCCCTCCGACGGGCCGCTGTCCCCCATGTCGGGGAACAGATCGAATACAGTCGGCCGCCTCCTGAAAATGTGCCGAGAATCGGGGTGCGAGTATGGGTCACACGCCATGAAACACTCAAGCGGGAAATGTTCTGCACCCTTACAAAAAAAAAAAAACGGCGACATTGTCCAGAGGGTCACAGCAAGGAGTAGTTATAATAGCGGTGGTACAGCAGGAGTGGACAAACACGACACCCAACATCCACACACACACTGATTGTTCATGTTGGTCATTTGCACCAATGTACCGGTAGTGGCCGATACTGTAGATCCATCGTCGTGTGCAAGCCCTCTCTAGTATTGCCCTCTTCACAGGGGTCTGCATTGTGTGACACACTACAAGTAACAACACCACCGCAGGTTGCCCAACAAAGAATACCCCCTTGGGCAGAAGCTCCAACACTTTCTCAGCGAAAAAAGTGAGACGGTGCCGAAACAAAAATGAAGCATGTGTTTCGTCATCGTCTCGTCGAGAACCCTAGCTCTAGCTCCGGCAAAATGGCATCATCTGATTCTTGTTATCATCCTCTTCGTCGTGCAGCAATAGAAACTTCAACTCCGGTCCAGTGGGTGAGGTATCCTACGTATCCAATACGGTATAACAAATTCGAGGTGTTACTCTTCAACAACGATAGTGTGATTCACCCGATCCATAGGAAGGCAAGACGGATGAGGTTTTCTTACACGCCATAGATTGGGAAGGAGCTTCTTTTACACGTCACAGACAGACTCATAGATAGATAGACAGATAGATAGGTCGGTAGATAGATACCTTCGGTCCTTGTGGCGGTAGCGGTGGTGCGTGTTGGGGTTGGACGCGAACGAGGCCTTCCTTTCTATGTGCTCCCCCCCGCCGCTGGTGTGGAGGGACCCGCTGTCGCCGTCCCGGTGCCGGTTGGCGGCGTCGAGAAGCGTTTTCCTGAAGAAAAAAGAAAAGAAGGATAAGATATGGGATTTGTTGTGATGTAAAGATAAAAAAAAAAAACACTTTGAATTATTGACAATGGAATTCTGCTGGGCTCTGTATCGGTGGAAGGACATGGAATTTGTACGGTTTTCTTTTACGAGAGAAAAAAAAAAAAAAAGGCCGAACAAAAAGACAAAAAAGACAGAAAGCTCGAGGTCTTACAAACCAACTGTTCGGTGCATGGTTTCGACTCAGTGTAGCCCTTTTGCCTGACTTCTCTTCATGATGTGTGTGAGGCAAGGTGTGTTTGTAGAGAAGACGGCGTGAGCTACTGTAGCTCTCTCTCTCTCTCTCTCCCTTCTTTTCTTTTCCCGGCGCGGGGGGAGAAAGCGGAGACGACACAAAAACCCGCACAGCAGTTTCGCAAAAAATAGTACGAAGTATCTAACAAAAGACAGAACGCAACACAAAAGCCGGCCTTCGCGACCAACAACTGTCTGAATTGTTTCCTGTTGGGTCATTCAGAACTAGAAATACGATGGAGGACTCTGTCTTTTCACGCCCTTCGTCGCACTGGTTACACGTTTGGGCTGCGGTAGGTGCATCCATCAATTTCATTTTTTGAGCAGCACACGTTCCTCTTGTGTGACCCCGGCTGACACGTCAGGTAAATACATAATACATATGCCGAAAGGCCTGTTAACCGGCGCCAGAATACATGGGACGAACACCCACACACATCGCAACGTACGGCATACAACGCACGACAGCGGTAGGTATTCGCCTCTGTGGCAAACGAATCAGTCTCATTTTTCCAGGACCGCACGCCGCGGCTGCACAAGCAGCAATCAACTGGTGCTAGAGGAGCGGAGCAATTCAACCTCGGGGCCAGTGGAAGACACAAACAATACAACCGGCTGCAGCAGCGGTAGAAACAGCAAACGGCACGCCCGTGTGGGGAAGGGGGTGGCTCGCCAACAAGGCTTTTCAACGGCACCGTGGAAGGGCCTATTACATCCTAGCCAGGGGCTAGAATGAGGGACATGGCAGTGGACCTCGACTTGCGTGCGTGTGGGGAGTGTACGCATAGTCGTGCATGCCGTAGTCGTTTGACCATTGACCTCGCATCCCTACAAAGCCGGGACGGAGCACGCCGGGTTCTCACCGGACCAGGCTCTCACATCACCAAGAGCAAAGCACTGTGAGGCATTCGCGGAGTCGCATGCATGCGTGTGGGGGGGGGGGGAGACAAACCGATGACGCACGTAATCGTGCACGAGAGAGCGAACACCACCCACTCCGCGTCCGCACCTGAGCATGTGCGCTGCCTCCCCGCCCTCGCCGCCGTTCTTCCCGAGTCTCTGCTGAAACTTCCTAGCGTGGATCATGTCTTGAGACCAGAACGAGTTTTCCGACTTGATCTGGCGGCGTCAATGGGGGGGGGGGGGGGGGGGGGCAAAAAAAAAAGAAGGGGGAATTTGTGGTTTGGGGTTTAAAAAACTTTTTTATGACCCCCCCC